TATATATATATATATATATATATATATATATATATATATATATATATATATATATATATATATATATATATATATATATATATATATAGGGTTAGGTTCATTTGAGACGACCTAATTTTGTGAGACCGTGAGACGTATTTATTTATTTATTTTTTAATTTTTTTTATTTAATTCAAGTTCCGAAAATAATATTTAAAAAAAGAATTTTTTGATTTTTCCATTTATTTTACATTTTAAAATTATTTTTAGAATATGTACAGTGTAATATTCTATTTAGAATATATTTCACGTATTTTTCAAAAAAATAAGATTTTTTTAAATTTTTTTTAGTTAATTCAAGTTCTGAAAATAATATTTAAAAAAAGAATTTTTACATTTTTCCATTTATTTTGCATTTTAAAATTATTTTTTAGAATATGTCAGTGTAATATTCTATTTAGAATATTTCACGTATTTTTCAAAAAAAAAAAAGGATTTTTTTATATTTTTTTTAGTTAATTCAAGTTCCGAAAATAATATTTAAAAAAATAATTTTTGGATTTTTCCATTTATTTTGCATTTTTAAAATATTTTTACACGGCCTCACAAAATTAGAATGGTCTCAAATGAACCTGAACCTATATATATATATATATATATATATATATATATATATATATATATATATTAAGATTTAAGGCTCATATTAATTTGGTAATTATAACTAATTTATACAGATTTAGGATCTATACAAATCTAGAGTAAATTATATGAATCATCCCTCGTCCAGATATCAAAATGCACGTTCAATCCCTATTTTCAAAAATTAACTCGAACCGTCCCTCATTTGGTTTTAAGTTGCACGTTTCATCCCTCCGGACATAAAAAGACAATTTTGCCCTCGTTTATTTCTTTTATGATTTATTTTCCATTTAATTGTTATTAATTAATTAATTATTGTTTTTTTATTATAAAAAATAATTATTTATTGTTTTTTATTATAAAAATAAAAGAAAGAATATTAACCCTAAACAGATCATCTCGCTTTCCCCATTTCTTCTTCAGTGTGTCGTCTTCGGTGTGTATCATCACCGAACCATGTCATAAGTCCATCGGAGAAGAAGGAGATTCAGATCGGAGAACCAAGTTCGGATCGAACATAGATTGTCTCCATCGACGAATCTCCTCTGCGTATTCAACCTCGTTCCCACCGTGTACAGCCTCCTCCTAAAACCCCCAATCAAACTCCAACTGTGGTGGCGACACATAACGGAAGAAGAGATTACTGGTGGTGGTGATGCCCGATCTAAAACCCCCAAAGTGAAATCCTTCATGAAACCACCAAAGTTCTTGATCTGAAACCATACATCATATCCCGATTTCTCAAAACCCTAGCATATGGGTTGCAATGGTGACAACATGTTTGCTCTCTTTCTCTCTTTCTCTCTTACCCTCTCTCTCCCTATGTATTGCATCAACATACATACACAAGGTGTGTTTGTATTTTTTGTTTCTCTGATCAGGAAGAAGAAAGAGGAAACAAATAGCGATGAAGGGTCAAGGATTGAAGGAAAAAATCAGATGAGATCAAAGGGAGAGAAATCGGTGTGTATATTTCAGGTTTTCAAAAGGATCCAACACCATTTTTGATTTCTAGAATGATTTTGAGATTTCTGAAACAATTTTCTGTTTCTAGGATCATTTGGGCTATAAGTTTCAGATTTTTTTATTTTTTTATTTTCGAGTTCTGGAGAAGAGCATATCGGGAGAGGAATATAACGGGTGGGTGTGCACATTTCCGGTGGAACTCTATTTTCCGATAGTGGTGATAAGGGGCGGGTGCGCACATTTTCGGTAGAACTCTATATACTGGTGGTGCTGCTGGTGGTTAAGTGTTACAAAAGAGGAAAAAATATATATTTTAATTAAAATATTTTTCAGTAATTAAAAATAATTAGAAATGTTAAAAATAAATGAAAAATATATTCAAAAGGGCATTATAGTCATTTCATGTATCGCAAGGGATTAAGCGTGTAAATTTAAATTAACGAGGGATGAAATGTGCAACTTTTAACTAAATGAGGGGCGATCCGAGTAAATTATTAAAAATAGGGATTGAACGTGCATTTTGACACTTGGACAATGGACGATTCGTGTAATTTACTCAAAAATCTAAGTGTCCTGCAATTTTATTTTTTGTTTTACTGAGATTTTCACAGGTTTCCTGAGGGAAAGGAGTGTAAGGCAAACTTCCCTCCCACTCCTTCCAGTCTTATAGTAACATTTTCAAATGAATGTGAATTGTGATGTTTAAGTGGATGCATTTTTCTAAGTAGAACGACAAACTTTAAACTAACTTCTTCATTTACAATGCATGATATATATATATATATATATATATATATATATATATATATATAAAAGATTATAATGTGGATGTATAACTATTGTACGGATGTGTGGATAATGTTATTTTACGAGAATTACTAAGAGAATAGGTTGTTTAGTAATTTAAATACGTTCAACCTCACATAACTATCGTCATTTTCATGTATTCTAACTAATTTTTATTCATTTTTGTTCTCATGTATCGTTTTTCACTCATTTTTATTCTTATAGAATACGATTCAATAAACATTATGACAACCAACTGACAGAAGGAGAATAATAAAAAAGTCTATAATAACCTTATAGATGATTTAATTAGCGAGAATGCATGATAATTACAATAGTTATGTAAGAATGAACGTATTCACATTATCAAGCAACGTATTTTCTTTAACATTCTCACAGAATTATATTGTCCACACGTCCGCACAATAGATGTTAATTCATATTTAAACCTAGCTTTCTTTATCTCTCTCTCTCTTTATATATATATATATATATATATATATAGAGAGAGAGAGAGAGAGAGAGAGAGAGATGATGGTTTAAATAAAAACAGTAAATAGTGTGAAAATGTAAAAATATTATTTTATGTTATTATTCTGCAAATAATTTTATATCATCAGCTTTATATCATTATTTAACAATAAATAAATGAATAATCAAATTTTAAAATTAATATTAGAATTTACTACAATAATACACATACATAAAATTTATAAGATAATAATAACATTCTAATAAATATATGAATAATCAAATATTAATATTCATATTAGAATTATTTCAATAATACATATATACCACATTCACTGCAAAATAATAATATAAAAATATTGTTTTTACGTTTTCTTACTATTTAGTGTTTTTATTTGAATTTATATATATATATATATATATATATATATATATATATATATATATATATATATATATATAAACAAAACGAAATAAAATATAATAATAATAATAATAGATAATTTAATGATTTAACAGGACTGTAATTACTTTAATAATTAAATTGATACATTGATAAAGATATTTTATATTTTTATTATTTTATACTCACGATAAAATCAAGTAACAAAAGAAAATGCATTTTTAGAGTGTCAAAAATAATTTAATAGCATTTCATAATAAAAATATTTAAACAATAATGAAAATCAAAATAATTTGTATTTTTCCAGAATTTGTTATAAGTTTTTATGACCACATTCGGTGCATAATATATTATCCAAGACCAAGAGTCATGGCTTTGGCGCGATGTCATTTCTGCTATTTTTCTCACTTTCTGCTTTTTCCCATTTCCCCTTTTCGTTTCAATGGCCAACTCAACTGATTAAAGAATCCAAAAACCCAGTTGTAGTTACTGCCTTTTCACGCTTATACTTCACATAATCTCTGTCAGATTCCCTGAATTTTGCTTCAATTGCAAGTTGCCCTTCTCGTCAGATCTTGCATTTTTGTGTAATACAGTTTATATATCCATTCCAATCTCTATCATACTTTCTCAAAGTAAGCTTCGAATGCGATGTTTAAACTTCTAAAAAACATCTTCACCTTTGATTTGCTATCTTTAATAATGTTCCCCAACAAGGGTTTCTCCAAATTTTTAAAATTGATTTTTTTTGTCGATACTTTTTGCGAAACTAATTGAGTTCAAATGGTGTTCTCAGTAAAGTTTTGAAGTTCGACACTTCCGAGCTGATTTCCCTTTCGTTTTTCCTACTCCGCGAGCACATTTTGGTTTCTTTCTTTTTGGTCGTTTTAAAGAGTCCTTTTACCAATTTGAAGATTTAATTTTAATTAATCTGTAGTTCCTGTTCATACTTTTTAGGGTTTCGGACCAGAGTGGACTTCATCACAATAAAAAAATCTGAAGAAGGTAAGCATTTATTGGTTCAGGCTCAATTAATGAATTTTTTGAATCGTATTTGCAGATTTTTCTGTTCCATATTTATTACACACTTCTGCTACTGCAATGTGAGCCCATTTTGATGTGCCTCGAGTTTTAGTTTTCTGTTATTTGGGGGGAACATATGAGCATCACACATGATTAACTTTCTTTATTATTTTTTTTTTTAGTTCACAAAAAGTTATTTTGTCGTCATTAATGTTGACACATGAAATTCTGAACTTCTTTGACTTTCGTTTTGGAAGAATTCCAAGCTAAATTTACATAACTTCCTATTCTCATGTTTACAAATTATTGATATTGTTGATTTTTATCCAAAAAGGTTGCATTTTTTTCCCCGTTACTCAAGGGTATTTAAGATATTTGACTAATAACAAATCACTTTCCATTGACTCTATAGGCATGATTAAGTTTCTTTGTTATTCTTTAAGAAAAGTTAGCTTTCTTCCTTAACGCTGAAACATGAAAATGGAACTTTCCCCTTTATTTTTGCAAAATTTCAAGTCAAATTGACCTAATTGCCTATTCTCATGTACACAAATTATTGATAGTCTGTTCTTTATTTTTTCAGAATTACAATTTGGGTTTAACTAGAGATAATTTGATGTATTATTGAGTTGTGTTGAATCAATTGGAACTGTTTTTGCAAATTTTCAGGCAGTGATCTTGATTAAATAACATCTGGAACCCAAGATTTGAGGTTCATGGTTGCACAGTGATGTTGAGGGCTACCAAATGGAAGCTTGAGAAGGCTAAAGTAAAAGTTGTTTTTCGGCTTCAGTTTCATGCTACAAATGTATGTTGAGTTCCTCTTTCTGTCTCTTTTCTTCAGTTACTCATTCAATCCCTGTTTTCTTTTTCTCCCATTAAGTCCAGTATGGATAAAGAAACTTATATGTTTTATTGATGGTTTCAATGTATCAGATTCCACAGAGTGGATGGGATAAGTTATTTATTTGTCTAATACCAATCGAATCTGGAAAGATCATTGCAAAAACTAGCAAAGCAAATGTAAGAAATGGGGCATGTAAATGGGCAGATCCTATCTATGAAACTACAAGACTTCTACAAGATGCTAGAAATAAACGATATGATGACAAGTTCTACAATCTCATTGTGGGAATGGTAAGTGGGGTGATTTCCGATTATCCATTTTATTTAAAAAAAAAATTGAAATATATTTTCATCTTTCAAGTTAGATTACTAAATGTTTGTATTTATTTTCAGGGTACTTCAAGGGCTAGCATTCTTGGTGAGGCTACCATAAACCTTGCTGAATATGCAGATGCATCAAGTCCTTTGGTTGTTTCTTTGCCTCTTGATGGATCTGATCATGGAATCCTTTTGCATGTGAGGAATCTAAAATCTTTGACTCTAGTCTTCATTCCATAACTTTTTTTTTTTTTTTGTCTATTAAGTTGTTCATCTATACCAAGTAAAAAAGAAACAGTCATATGTATAATTGTATATAGCTGAAGTTTTTCTATTAAGTTGTTCATTTATTTATTTTTATCTTTTCAAGTGGATGGTTGACTTGATCTTTTTGGTGGCAGGTTACAGTTCAGTTGCTGACAGCTAAAACTGGATTCAGGTATCTTATCATCAATTGCTCTTTCCTCCCTATAAAGGCTGCAACTTTTTGTTTTTTTAGATGTGAAATTACATTATTAAAAGTAAATCAGTTATCATGACTTGAGTTGAGTTGGGTTCCCAAGATGACTTACTTTTTTTATCTTTATTGAAGGGTATTTTAGATATTTATCAAATAATCAAACCTTTTTCTGAAACTATGCAGAGAATTTGAGCAGCAATTTGATAGGGGACTTCAGAGCAGCAGCAACCTAAATCGAGAAGTGGAACCTAGTTTTGCAACATCATTGTCTTCTGAATTAGCAATCTCTGAAGATCATGGAAATAAGGTGTGGTTGTCTTTTCAACTATCTATTGAATGTCCACAATACCCTTTAACATTGATGTTAGTTATGTGGACCAAATTTATTTCATCATAATTTATAATGATGATAGTGGGCAAATAGGTAGCTTTAGCTTGAAAACTTGCTAATAAAGGAAATATTCCCATCCAATGAAAGTTGAGATGTTTCCTTTTTGGGGCAGATCGCAATAAGTAGCAACATAATTTAACTTTATTTCATTTTGGTCATTGGAATTTAAAAATCGTCGTTAAAACATTGTACTCTTTGAATTTAATTATTTTGGGTGATTTCAACCAAAAAATATGTAACATGTTTGATGAAGTTGGATAGTTATATTAGTGGTCTCCAAAAGTTGTATGATTTTAATAACAACGCTTAAAGCCAAATGACTTGATTAGACATGAAGTGAAAGTTTATTTTTAATTAATTATAATATTTTACCCTTTTTTGCCAAAGTTTCAAGATAGTGACATCCACTTGCCCTATATCACTATTTTAAATCATGATAATGTTTTGCTTTTGGTCCACAAGATTCCCTTATTTTGTTATTATTAAAAGGTTTTAAAGATATTATATTAGCATTCAAACAAGTTGTATACACTAGTGTAGACCCACATTGCAATATTCATGGGACACATGGAGTAGAAACTCTTTTTGCATGCTGTGTACCTATGATTATTTTTAATAATAATGTATAAATAGGCCAACCTTTTTATACACTTTTCCCAAGTTGGGATCATGTAGATTATTTTTAATTTTTTATTAATTAAGCCACCCTAACAGGGTTCCACCACCAAATAGGTCAATTCTAGCCAAAAAGTCGTCAGAACATTGTAAAATGATCAAAATACAAGCATTTTACATTATTTATTATGAGATAAACTACTCTTATCTTTTTGCTATTCTTTAAATAGGTTAATACAGAAACACATTTGGGATCAGAACCTAAAGAGCTTATTACAATTGTTGAAGAAACAGGCATACATGAAGAATTTTCAGAATGTTATTATGCTGATAAACATGAATTGCCAAGCATCCATGAATCCCGGGATTCAAACGGGCCTACATGTAGTCAAAGCCCAACAACTGAAAAACCAGATCAGTCCAATCATCAAGGATGGAATTCAGATTATTCAATGAATAATAACTTAGCAATTGCTCACGAAGAGAATAACAGACTTAAAGGAAGCTTGGAAATGGCTGAGGCTTCCATTTCAGAACTTAAACAAGAACTAATTGCTTTGCATAGTCATGCTAATGAAATGGGAATGGAAACACAAAACATTTCACAGCATCTAATGGCTGAGATTTCTTCAGGCCAAAAACTAGAAAAAGAGATTATGGTGCTCAAATCAGAATGTTCCAAGTTCAAAGATGAACTACAACAGCTAAAAGAAGTAAAGTCAAGGCCCAAATCTATTGAAAGGACCCAGGCCCATCAGCCCACATGGGCAAACGGGCTTTTACTTGTGGAGAATCGAATACGTGAGCTCCAACAAAAGATTCCTTTTGGGATCACTGCATCTAATTTAAACTCAGATTTGGAGGTGCTTCTTGGAATCCTACATGATCTTGAAAAGGAAACGGTTTTCACAAACGGTTTTGATTCAGTAGAAGGTAAAAGTTTTCAAGTTTTAAGGGAGTTGGATGAAGTGAAAACCGAAAGGGGAAATCTAATTAGAAAAATGGATGAGATGGAGTGTTACTATGAGGCACTAGTTCAAGAGCTTGAAGAAAACCAAAAACGGATTTTAGGAGAGTTTCAGAGCCTTAGATATGAGCATTCAACATGTGTTTACACAATTTCAACCTGCAAAGCAGAGACTGAAATGACACGTCGTGATATGAACAATCAAATCTTAAGATTCATTGAAGAAAGACAATCTTTGGGTTGTGTTAATGAAGATCTTACAAAAAGAGTTGCATCTTCAGAAGTACGTGTGCAAGAGCTCGAGAAAAACAGAGAACAGATTCTTAAAGAATTCAAGAGCCTTAAAAATGAGCATTCGACATGTGCTGAAACTATTTCCACATACAAATCCGAGACTGAATTGATACGCCGTGATATGAACAATCAAACCTTAAAGTTTGCTAAAGAAAGACATGCTTTGGGTTGTCTTAATGAGGAGCTTGAGAAAAAGGTTAAAACTGCAGAATCACGTGTGCGAGAGCTCGAGGGAGAGCTTCAAAGTCTTAAAAACGAGCATTCAAGATGTGTTGACTCAATTTTGACCTGTAAATCCGAGATTGAAATGTTGAAATCTAATGAAGGACATGATTTGGGGTGTGTTAATGAGGAGCTTGAGAAAAGAGTTATGAATGCTGAATCACGTGTGCGAGAGCTTGAGGAAAACCGGGAATGTATTCTTGAAGAACTCGAGAGCTTAAAAAGTGAGCATTCGACATGTGCAGATGCAATTTCAACCTGTGAATCCAAGACTGAATCGATACGTGATGAAATGAATGATAAAATATCAAAATTGACCGAAGAAATACATGCTTTAGATTCTGCTAACAAGGAGCTCGAGAAAAACCGGGAACGTATTCTTGGAGAGTTTGAGAGCCTTAAAAATGAGCATTCGACATGCATCGATACAATTTCAACCTGCAAATTGGAGATTGAATCATTTCGCGATGAAATGAACAATGAAATCTCAAAGTTTATAGAAGAAAAACATGCTCTGGATTGTGTTAATGGTGAGCTTGAGAAAAGGGTTGTGAATGCAGAAGCACGTGTTCAAGAGCTCGAGAAAAACCGGGAACAGATTCTTAAAGAATTCGAGAGCTTAAAAAACGAGCATTCAACATGCAAATGTGAGTCTGAATCGATACATGAAATGAAGGATAAAATTTCAAAATTTACAGAAGAAAAAAATGATTTGGAACGTGTTAACAAGGAGCTGGAGACAAGGGTTAAAACTGCTGAGTCAGCACTTGTAAGGGCCCGGTCAAATTACTCGATTGCAGTGAGTCAATTGCAGAAGGACCTTGACATGCTATCAGGCCAGGTTGCTTCCATGTTTGAGACTAATCAAAATCTGATTAAAGGAACTTTTTCAGAATCTTTGATAATCGAAAACGATAATGAAAAACATGAAAAGAAGGATCCTGAAAGGGAAGCGGAAGGGGGGTCTGAATCATTACGTATGGCCTTCATGAAAGAACAATGTGAAACCACAGTGCAAGAACTAAAGCAACAACTTTTGGTTTCCAAAAGGGATGCTGATAACATATTGTTTAAGTTGCAAGATGCCCTTGATGAGATTGATGGTAGGAAGAAATCCGAAGCTTCTTACTTGAAAAAGATTGAAGAATTGTCTTTCAAGATTGTGGGATTGGAAGCCGAGTTGGAATCTTTACACTCTGAACTCGAATGTGCTCTTTTGAATCTTGAATGTTGTAAGGAAGAGAAACAAAAGATGGTTTCTATTATGGAAGAATGCGAAGAGGAGAAGATGAAAATTGCATTTGAACTTTCTTTGTTACAAGACCAGATTGCCACTAAACAAAATATGGCTGGTGAAATAGCACAAATCAACGAGGTAAAACTTAATCATTTCTTAGTTTTTGACAATAAGGAGGGCATTAGCGTCTTTTTCCACATATTTTTTGGGTGTCATTTACATTTGTTGTTGTAATGTAGTTGGAGGGGTTGAAGAAGGAGAGATCCATTCTTTCAATGATGAGTAGTGGCTCAAATTTTCAAGATTTACAAAGAGAACTTGTGCAACTACACAAGGTAATTTCAGCAAAAATACAGAAAAACATAACATCAATTAATTATCAATTTTATTGGTTGTGATTGTTAGTTTGTTGCTTCTTAAGGCTAATGAAGAGCTCGGGGGAATATACCCAAATTTTACGGATCTCCCGGGAGATGGAAATGCATTAAAAAGGGTGCTTGCATTGGAAATCGAGCTTGCTGAAGCACTGACATCAAAGAACAAATCCAGCATCCAAAGGTAAAATTAAGTAATCATAACTCAATTTTGACCAAATAGAGTTTGAAAGTCAAACAAACTAACATGATAATGAATAATGAATTATATATTTTCAGTTCTTTTCTTAAACAACACAGCGATGAGGAAGCGGTTTTTAAAAGCTTCAGAGACATCAATGAGGTGATCAAAGACATGTTGGAAATGAAGAACAAATATGTAGATGTGGAAAATGAACTGAAGGAGATGCATGAACGCTATTTGGAGTTGAGTCTGCAGTTTGCTGAGGTGGAAGGTGAGAGGCAAAAACTTATGATGACAGTGAAGAACTCAAGATCACCCTCCATTGGAAACCCTAGATAAGATAACAATCTTTTGTACTATGTAGAGTCTTAATTAGTCTATCATAATATTGTTATAAAATCAGCAGAATCTGTGAATAGGTTTCGGGTTTAGCTGCAGGTGTGAAAAGGGATAGAAGCAAGAGTGTAAATGGGTGTAGTTGCAGACATTTTAACCATGTTTTTGGGTGTTTGAAGTTTTTCTTTTAGTGAGATCCATTTTGTGAATTGTAATTCATATTCTGATATTAGTAGAAAGGTTTGATTCTTTTATTGGTGATTTGGTGGTTGTTTTTAGTCATTCCGTTAATGTAATAACAAGATAAACATCGGTTATCTGTGTCATTTTAGTTGAACAATTATCTTTTATGTTTGATTGATGTTTATTGCATATCAACAAGTAATTTGTCATTTATATTGCATATCTTATATGATGTAGGACACTTTACCAGTTACCACTCTCGAGTCTTGTCATTATCATAGATGTAACAAAAAGAGGGAACAAGGTTGCATCTTTTTCTGCTAGATTCTCGCATCACATTATCTTCTATAACCACCTTTGATGTCTGAAAGGTCACCTAATTCGTTTGTATCAATCATGATCTTTCATTGCTATTAAGACTTAAATTCAGTCAACTAATAATAAAAGAAAAATAATTACGAAAATAGAAAAACGATAAAAGAATAGAAGGGTAATTTTGTCATTTTACAAATACTTAACCTCCACTTCTTTTTAAGGTGATAGTCATAGGGGTGTAAACGAGCTGAGCCTGACCAAGCTCGAGTTTGGCTCGTTTAATTTTGAGGAAGCTCGATTCGAGCCTTAAAATGAAGCTTGAGCTCGGCTCGTGAACAATTTATTAGACTCGTGAGCCTAAACGAGTCTTTATATATATATATATATATGTGTGTGTGTGTGTGTGTGCGCGTGCGTGCGTGCGTGCGTGTGTGCATGTGTGCGTGTGTATATATATATATATATATATATATATATATATATATATATATATATATATATATATATATATATATATATATCGTTTAAGCTCGTTTAGGCTCGCAAGCCCATTAATTGAATCTTGGCTCGAGCTCGGCTTAGGCTCTTTTAATTCGATCTCGAGTCGAGCTTTTAACGAGTAACTCGGTTCACTTACACCCCTAGTGATAGACATAAAAACCTCTTGTGCAAGATTTTAAAACCACATGACTAGCCATTCCCATCATGACTTGTGGTATCTTTTGCCAACCATAAGGACCATTTGTGTAATTTTGTCTTAAAAATATCTAACTTTTGAATTTCTTGTAAGACTATGCGGAGGGGAAGTGCCAAGCCAAGTCGCCATGCTCGCCAACTTCATCGAAACACCGCCCCTAGCTCTCGCTAGGGTGCTCGTCACTGTTGAGTCGTCAAAGTCTTAGCGAGGTGAAAGAGAAAACTTGCTTGGTTCTGATTGGATGCATGAATGTTCCAGCTTTACCTTTTCAATATGCATGCGGAATAAAAAAAAACATTTTTAATATATATATATATATATATATATATATATATATATATATATATATATAGTAATTAAATTAAATTAGAAAAAAATACAAAAAATTGAGTGCTAGAAGTGTTACCATTCCTTACCAAATGTTAAGTGTAAGTGTTAAAAAAAGAAAAATAACGAGACATTAAAAATACTTATGTGGCAAGGTGCCAAGAGTGTCACCACTCTTCTTAGCCTAATATGTATACCGGAGTTATGTATTTTTACATTTAGTACCTTTTACAAACAAAAACAGTAAAGGTTTGTTTGATTTACCTCTTACTCGTTCCACTAAAAGGTTATCTCTTATTCGGTCCAATAAAAACGTTTGATATAGATATTTTTAACCTGTTATTCAGTACTAATAACTTTTACCCAATCATAACAAAAGAGAAGTTGACTAGAGACTAAAAGTTTTATTCCTTTTTCTTTAACCCTTTCTATTGTGTAGGCTTATTGAAACAGGATAAAGCTTATTCGAATGTTTTTTTTTTCTTTTTGTTTTTTCGATAATCCGTTTTGACAGATGATAAGTTAATAAGCATTTTTGCTAAAAAAAGAAAAAGTTTTTTTAAGCAAGCAATCATAAACATCCTTACAAAACATTCTCACCAAACAAGCCAAGTGCCAGGATGTGTCAACCATCTCCTCTACTTTCTTATAATCAAGTGTTTAAACACTTTGTTCTAACAATAACATTTTAAATGGATTAAGATATTAATAAAACCAAGTTCATTTATAATTTTTATATATCAAACTATATAAATTAATGGACCAACAAAACCAATGTTTCATAACCCGATTTTTTTAGTTGAACTAGCCACCTGGTTCAACAAGTTCGACAATCAATTTGATCAATAATTTTTTTATTTATGGTGGTGGTCTACGTCGGCTTTTGAGCTGTGTAGACTCTGAAAAAGTTCAATTTGATTTAGAAATGATATTTTTTATCCGGCTAAACCAAATTCAACTACACAAGTCCAATAAACCAGCTATAATGGTTTTTATCAATTTTATCACGTTTTTGAAGAAACCGTCCGGTTCAATCCGTTTAAAATTTGACATAAAACCGGTTGTTATTAAACCGTTCTTGTCTCTGGTTCCCGGTTCGAACCGGTTTTTAAAACATTGAACGAAACTAAATCGCTTTGATTAGATAGATTTTTAGCAAATTTTCCATTTAAAAAAAATAATATATAAAATCCACATAAACACAATTATAATTAATTCTGATCGGCCAAGTATAAAATCTCCAAATCGAGTGAAACTGAGATCATCTTATCAAATTACAGTTGTATTAGTTGAGAATTTAGAAAAATAGTAATAACAATGTTCTTTTATTATTATTTTTTTCTACCAATATAAACAACGTACATCATCTTTAGTATTTGTAGTTCTTTATCTATATTATATTAGCAGCATATACACATATATTTCTTTTACCAAATAATAGCAAATTATAACTTGAAATTATAAAATATAATTTGTTTTTACTAGTACTAGTAATGTGCTTACATATCATTTACATATAACAGCAAATACTTATAATATTACTCATACTAGCAAATGTAATCTCTCTTTTTCAATAATAACCATATTATAGCAAATAATATACGGTGTCCCTATTGGTAACGAAAGGCAAGTACATTATTATTTATGGGAAACCCTTTTTCTTTTACTTTTTTACCTAAATAATAAATATAATTTTGTTTAATGGAGCGTAAGTAGATGAAACTTAAACTCAAGACAATCAAGTCATTTTGGTCTTACAAAGTTTTCCTATATACACATTCATTCAAACATACATCCAGAGTTACTCTCTCTTCACCCCTTACAGATCCCAAGTCAAAGTTCCAAACATATATATATCCAAAAGTCAACTCATCAAATCACATACCCTTGAAGCTTTCTTTTAAGTTTTAACCATTGAAAGCTCGGGCAGTCTCCTGGTCAAAGAATTGCACACGGGCAGCTGCCCTGTTTCGGAAAGCCATCTTGCAACTTATCTGTCAATTGTCACACACAAAAAAGTCCAAACATGTCAAGTCTTTCACTTTCAACATCAAAAAAAAAAAAAAAATACTACTTTTGACCTTCAAATTTCATACCGACACTTTAGATATTCAAAATCTGTGATATAATTATCAATCCAATTTTTCAACAAAACAAAACACATACATGATATATATAAATAGATATGGAGTGTACGAAATGATAATAGGTTACCATTGTTTTTGTGTGGGATGTGAGGGCGCACAACAACAAGCATGGTGATGATTCCTCCTGGAACTTCACTTACAGGAGATCGGGACTCTGCAAGTGTTTTATCATTTTCCAGTATTTTTCCCGCATTAATCAGCTTCACATCATTTATTGTCTTCGGCCCATTTACTTCATCTGTTATTGTTAACAAATTATTTCACCATTAAATACTAGTATGACATAACACATTAAATACTGTCTAATAATAACATACCTGAAAATAGAAACTTATCAAAATCCAAACAAAAAAGTTCAACAAATATCTAGCAAGAGTTATTAGCCCTTCTTATTTATTCCTCTCACCTTAAAACTGATCAATATTGTTAAAACTAATGAATATTGTGAAATTTGTTGGAATGCAATGGTAAAATTGATTATTTAGTGTCATTCAGATGGATTGGTGTTCAGTCTAGAAAAGAAACACCTTATCCATACATTGTTCACTCTAGAAAAAAAAAAAAAAAAAAAAAAAAAAAAGACTTAATGTACTTTTGATGTGTAACAAATGAAATTTAGGGAAGTGTTACCCGTATTTTGTGTATTAGGTGATGAATTCTAAAAAGGGTAATCTGTTGTATTGAATATTGATGAAAAAACGACAATGGTGTAGGTGGTGCTCATCAACTCACCGATAAGATGACAATATGATGATCACAACTTCTTAATATTTTTCCTTCTTCAAGATAATTAAACTTCAAGAACCAAATCTCCAATTCATAAAAACAAAGACTCAAGAAACACATATTTACACTACAAAAACGAAACTTGAAGCACAAAATTTAACACAAGTTGCCAGAAATCATCGAATTTCAGTTTAAAGAACATATAGCTATACAAACACCTCAACAACAGTAACATTTAAATTAAAATCAGTCTTGGAGGCAGAAAATGAACAAAAATAAAGAAAGTTTGGATATTGAATTAACCTTGGGGCAATTGTGAAAGTATCATTTCTTTCAAAGATCCCACAGTGGTGCTAGGACTGTATTTGCTTGGGCCAATATCACTGCCATCAGCTAACCTGAATTTCACCTCAACCACTTCTTGAGAACCCATATGATCTCAACAACCCACTTCAAATTCTCATATAACCCACTTGAATTATTCCAAAAAAAAATCAATTTTTTATGGATTAAGTGAAAACCCAGATGAGATATAACAAAATCCAATGAAAAACAAAGCTTTTTGTTGGGTTTTGATCAGAGAGAACAAGTGATGAAATGAGTTCAAATTTGACAAAATAGAGATCTGATAGATGGATGAATATAAAGGGGTGAGGCTGAGAGAATAAGAAGGTTTCTTGACATAGAAAGAAAGGGAACGAACAAATAAAACAAAAACAACTCTTATGACAAGGGAACCTTTGTTCTTTTTCCATGAATATTTTAACATATTTACAATTCTTTTTTTTTATAAATAATTTAATAAAAAAGATTCTATATTTTAGTGTGTACTATAATAGATTAATAGTAGTGTATAAATGAATGAACCAACATTGAGCATAAATGATGATTAATATATATAATGAATGAATATAATGATTAATGATGAGTTGTAACATAAAATCAAGTAACAGGGTTAGAAATGTTCATCCTTCCCAAGTATAGGGT